GAGTAAAAGTCCCCTCGATGACGCCCGCCACTGTTAACAAGAATCAGGAGGCTCCATGGAGCTCCCTGATGACCTCGTTTGTGTAGTGAATAAGGCCCAGGGCGGGGATGTAGTCGTCACTAACCGAGGAGGCAGCTTGCCTTGGGATGCTGGGTCAATCTGTCCGCATCCTGGGAAACACATACTTCGTCGCCTCGCCGGCCTTGTCGTCCTCCCGAGGCTGTTTTCGGCGCCATGAACGAGTTCAAACTTTGAAAACCTTGGATAATTTATCTACTTTCCCACCATTTAGATATGGAGGCTCAATTTCATGGAGGTTGTACTTTTGTCCAGTAAGATCGCTTTTCAATATTCATTGGCCATCAAAAAGTGACCGATCAATGGTGATGTGACCGATCAATGGTTCGCGACGTTACTTGATTTTGATTTTCAGTATGAATACAAACCGTGAAAGCGTGGCCTCTCGATCCTTTAGTTCTTTTGAATTTTAAGCTAGAGGTGTCAGAAAAGTTACCACAGGGATAACTGGCTTGTGGCAGCCAAGCGTTCATAGCGACATATTTTTGGATTCTTCGATGTCGGCTCTTCCTATCATTGCGAAGTAGAATTCGCCAATTGTTGCATTGTTCACCTACTAATATGGAACTTGAGCTGCGTTTAAACCGTCGTGAGACAGGTTAGTTTTACCCTACTGATGAGTTCGTTGTCTAAACAGTAATCCGACCCAGTACGAGAGGAACCGTCGGTTCAGATAATTGGTAAATGCAGTTAGCTGAAAAGCTAGTGCTGCGAAGCTACCATCTGTAGGATTATGGCTGAACGCCTCTAAGTCAGAATCCATGCTGGAATAGACGATAATCACCTTTCCTGATGTACTATAATGGCTGAACGCCTCGAAGTCAGAATCCATGCAGGAATAAACGATAATCACCTTTCCTGATGTGCTAAGACGACTTACTAGGAACAGGGTGCTGTAAGAATGAAATCAGTCCTTGTACTACGATCTGCTGAGATTTAGCCTTCGTTCCACGATTTGTTCATATTTAATGAATATTTCTCCGCCCACGAAACATCATCAAAATTACATAAATATAAGAATGAACTCAATTCAATTTGTGTCGTCAAGAGCAATTTGCAATAAGAACTTACAGTTTTCTTCAATAAGAACTTATAGTTTTTTTGTCAACGAGAACTTAGAGCTTTCTTCAACGAGAACTTAGCGCCTTGGGGCCTCGAGTTTTCTTCAGCAAGAACTTAGAGTTTTCTTAAACATGTATATATAGGTCGAATACTTATGCAATCTCCAAACGACTTGTGAAATTCAATTGACTTTGGGCTTGATTGCAATACAAAATTGGAGGAATGAAGCTCAAGCGTTACGCTGAGCGTTCGATGATTTTGCTTTGTGGTCTTAGCCGGGCATACGTGCTTTACTGTTAAAGTTGGCTTGAGACTGAGGCCCCATCCATGTTATGGAGCCCGTGGTGAGACGGTACAAAAATATTTATTATTTGTTTATGCCTGGAGCAGATGCAATTTGTGAGGGGGGTTCGAGTTGGGACGGGCAAGGATCTGAGAGAATCCGCGGGGTTTCGGGGTTGGGAAGAGCAGTGTGTACGAATTTGTATGTTGATGGTAGCAGCAGAGGGTAGTTGCAGGATTGAGTAGTTTCGTTGAGGTCAATTGTAAGTATCTAAGATACTCTATGATGACAATAGTAGAAAGTATTTTAATAGACTCCAAGTCTTATGTGTGGGAAGAATGTCATAATCGGCCATATTAGCCTGAGTGAACCACACCCCGTCCGGCTCTATGAAGTTAACTAGGCTCAAGCGAGGGTACAGTTAACGACGGAAAAATTCACCCAGTAGTACTACCTTGTTATATTGAAATTTGTATTGAAATATATTACTACTCTGGTCCACAAAAAGAGTCACATTATTTGTCTTGATTAAAGTATGAGGAGGAGGCCAAAAATATCTTGAATTTTCTATTGAACTCTGACATT